ATCGACCTGATACAGAAGAAACAAATTACAGTTCAAATGATCAAAGTCAAAGCACACAGTAAGAATGCGAGCAACAATAAGGTAGATCTGCTGACAAAAAAAGTTAAAGAAGAATCAGAAATTATATGGACTAAGTGATATCGACAAGAAGCCCTAACAACACTCTGTTGGAATGGAATATCCATTGATATAGGAGCAAGAGATTTTGTTAAGGAATTACACAAAAGAAATATTTTGATGAAATGGATGGGTCAAAATTGAATATGAAAAAGATGGCTGAAAGAGATTAATAATCATGAAAACTTTGATTGGAGAGAATTCTGGGAAGCAAACAGAGTAGGAGGAGCCCTAGAAACATCGTTAAAGAAAACCAGGGAAAAATCCTTTCGGATTAAAATGATGCATAATGAGCTTCCAATCCTAGACAATATGAACAAACGATTCCCCAAGGAATATGGAAGCCTAATCAATTGTACATATTGTAGAAAAGAAAAGAAATTCCTCGAACATCTCCTTTCATGTCCTGATATTGTGGAAATCCGAAAAGAAATCTGGAATGAAACAAAAAACCAAGTGCTAAACAAATGGCCAAACAAGACCCAAGAAGGAAAAAATCAAGGCTCAAGAATCCATATTGGTGCATTGCTAGAAAGATGGTATACAGACAAGTTCTCCCAAGGAAAAAGCATTATAGACTTCAGCCTAGGACTTTTCTTAAAAGAAGATATTATGGAATAGAGCTCAGTGATGAAGAAATTTAAAGTCAAGAAGAGCAAAGCTAAATTCTTATTATACAAAGTATCAAAATCAGTATATAAACAGATTAGAAAGAAAATATGGAATGACAGATGCTCCAGGCTACAAAACTCGGGAGAAAAGCCAGAAAAGAAGAAGCATTGGAAAGGTAATCGCACGAAGACTCAGAAAAAGAAAAAAGCAGAATCAGAAGAACAAGAAGATTACGAAGCAAAAGACCCTGCAGATCAAGAAGAAGCCACGAATGAAGAGTACAAGCAAAGTCAGGAACAGAGCGAAATAGCAATCTGGAGATGGATCAAAGAAGGGAAAAAGTGGTTGAGAATATAATAAGTAGTCTAGATTTTGTTTAGATGAACCGTAGTGATGAACTGTGGGCAATGATTCTTACCTTCAAATTCCAAAAGTGAATAAAAGGTTAAGATAGCAATTCTTTTTATCTCCAAAGTCATACTTAGAGACATAGTCTAAGACGGATATTCAAGGCAATAGATAGTTTATGCAATACAATGTATTATACATTAGTTATTTTCTGTAAAGATTTAATAAACTTACGCACTTGTTTGACTACGGGAAAAAAAAAATTTAAATTTGTTTACATATATTTAATTAATAAACTTTATATTTTATTAATTTTATTGATTATAAAAATTTTAAGAATAAATCTTTATTTTTTTATTGAAATATTAGTAATAAATAAAAGATATTATTGCTAATTTTTAACTATTTTATTTGAAATTATCTTTGAAAAAATAAATATTTCTATTGTTGATAAAAAATTATATAGATATAATTGCACAACATACTTCAATATATTGTATATTCTGATTCTTGATAGTTGATAATTGATAGTTTATAGTAATATATGAAATCATAATACAATTTTAAAGTCTAATTTGATTATTGTTTTAACTTGTCAAATAGTTTATTAATTAGTAATAGTATATTTTAGTTTAATAGAAAATGTATAATATAATATTAAATAGTGAAAATATATTCTTCTAGTATAAAATAAAAAAAGAAAAAGATAATAACAATAAAAATAACAATAATAATATCAATAATAATAAAATATATTTCTTAAATTAAAATTTGTCTAATTAGAAATATTTAATCAATATTACTAAAGAAAATAAAATCTAATTAACTTATCTAATCTAATATTTTATATAAAATAGAATATTTAGAACTACTAAAAATAAAGAGGTAAAACTTATTAAAAAAAAGCAGACAATGGAAAGAAAAAAAAGGATTATATAATAATTTAAGGAAAATCATAGTAGTTATCAATAGTTTATTATTATTAAAGAAAAATTTTATTAATATAAAAGTAGAGCAGACAACTTTGAAAATAATTAAAGAAAAAATATAATCTTTAAATATATATTTTTCCAATATAAATAAATAAAATAATAATAATAATAAATAATATACATATAATTTTAGTGGTTTTTTTGAAAGATTATATATATAATTAATGAAATAATAAAAAAAAGAATTAAAATAAGATAATAAATGAAATATAATATTAAACAAATACATTAATAATATCCTATAACTTTTTTATATTAAATAATAATTAATAATATATGTTAATTAGTAATTTTTATATTTATTATACTTAGATTAATAATTACTATAAGTTTGAATTTTGTGTTACTTTGAAGCTTCAGGATTGGCTGATATTATATAACTTCAGATATGTATTTTAGTTTAATTATTAGTATTTTTTAACTAAAAATCAAAATTCTTGATTATTGAAAAATTGATATTGATAATATTTTTCTAATTATTAATAAAAATATTTTTTTTATCAAAATACTTATAGTCTCTTAATATTGTTTAAGAGATTATTATTTGATTTTATAGAAAAATTGAAGTTTTTGTCAGACGTCTATAGATTTGTTATATTCTTTCCTCCTTAAAAGCATTATTGTCCTTAATAATTATTACACTTTGTCTAAAAAGTCTTTAAACAAATTATAATACAAATCGATCAAGTGTATCTTGCCACTTTAAGTTAGGTTCGCTGCTACACAACTTCTGAATATTTTTGGATGGCTTAGTACTTTTTTTTTTTTATAGCAAGGTAAGTTTGTTACCATAGTTTTCGTTAATAATGAGACTAAAGAAATAACTACTATTCAGGATATATATGTAAAAATTATCTTATACTGATGAAATAATGGCCTATAAACTGCTAGAGAAATATAGAGAAAAATAAATCTTTTGAGGTTCATGATATATTATAATCTCTCAAAAATAAAAAAAATATGAAAGTATAGCTCACCGAAAATAAAATGGTCAGTCGTTAAAGATAGATTCTGCAGCATCGATCGCTCTAGGACAGTATATAAGAAGAAATCCTTCAATATCTTCATGGTTGCTGATTACCAAATTAGTAGAAAAGGATATTAAGGTGATGTACAGAACAATCTGTAATCATTTGTAATATTATGGGTATAATAAAAATTAAGCAAAAGTGATATCAATGCTAACCATAAAACAAAAAGAAATCTGGATCTTGTGGGTACAAGAATACTATAAAGATAATTGGGACTGAATTGTTTTTTCAGATGAAATATACTTTCAAATGTTTAGAAATACAATCCAATATTGGTATAAAAGTGATAAATGGCCGATACAATGAATTCTGAAAAATTGACAAAAAATTTTTATTTGGATACAATTTGGATAGAAGATAAGATAAAACTTTATTGTTTTCAATAAATAATGGATATTTTTTTTTATATTGATATTTTAAAACAATACATTCCTTAATATCAAATAATAATTATAGAAGTCTTGTAATAATAATTGTGATATTATTAAGTTTTTTGATTTAATTGTTAGTTTCTTATAATTCATTAATACATATATATGTACAAGTTTTGTATTAATAAACTTAGTATTGTATATATTCACAGTTATTTCATTATGCTTGTGATATTATTATTTACAGATTTTTTGTTAAAAAATTATTATAAAATTAAAAAATAAACATCTTATATATTATAATATCAAGATATTCAACTTATTTTGAATATCAAAATATATTTTTTTTAAGTATACCAATGTTTATTTTAATTTATAAACAAAAACAAATTGATGGATACAAAATAATTTTTTAATTATTTTATAATATATTAAAATATTAATATAAAAATGCAAGACTGATTTATTAAATATTAAAGAACAGAAACAAAATAATTAAGTAAAGTAATTTTTATATAAAAAGTAAACAAATCTTTTTTGTTTTAAACAAATAATTGATAAAAATTCTATGTTAAAATTTTAGAAAAACATATTTTTAAAATAAGAAGTATGCTGAAGGGTAAATGTCGACTACAACAAAACAACAACTTTAAGTATATTAGTCATGTTTCATAAAAATTCCTTAATATTAATGTTTTAAAAATTATTAATTGGCTATTCAACAATCCAAACCTAAATTTAATTGAAAACTTTTAAGTAGTAATCAAGATATACAATATGTAGAAAGGCATACTTAAAAATATTAATAAATTGAAAAGTTTTATATATAAAGAATAAAATAAAATTTTGAATAATCTTATAATTAGTCTTATAAAATTCAATACTATAATGTTGTAAAAAGATTATTGAAAAAGATAGTAAAAGAATATCATATCAATTTTTTTTAAAAAAAATTTGTTGGTTTATAGTTTTAAAATGACATATTACCTGAATTAATTAATAAAAATTAGTTATGGAGTTAGAATGATTTTAATAATTGTCATTTCTCATGATTACTACTGTATATAGACTTTATTATTAAAATCCTTTGAAAATATTTGTTTTGGGGATTGGCAAAAAGATCTATCTTATATCTTTATAATATTTTTATTTTTTGTTGACGTTTATTAAATATATGATATGATAGGAATATAATTAAAAAAAAAATCAATATATAAAAAACATATACTGTATTGAAAAAAATTTATTTAAAAATCACTGTGTTGATGAAAAAAATAAATTTTCAAATTGTGATGAGATATAAATTATTATATAAAAAAAATGAATTATTATTTTTATATAATCAATCATAAAAAAAAAAGATATTTTTTTAAAAAACAAGCACATGTGATATTGGTATTGAATTTAATTATTATTTTCTATCAAACTTTCCGAATTTTCATTTGAAAAAAAATTAAGGTTAATTGGATTGTCACGAAGAAAAAAAAAATACACTGTATTTAATCTTCAACATTTCATATGAATCTCATCTACGCGCCCTTGTCGTATAATAATGATGAGGGATTTTTGAGTTGATATTCTATGAAGAAATGGAGAATAAACTGTTGATCCTCGGTTATTGCTACGGCCGACGATGATGATGCAATGTTTTCGAAAAATTCTTCGAAAATTTTTACAATGAATTGCGTTGTTGAACCATTCTTTTTTTTTGATTTTCTTAATATAACTTCACCGCAAGGTCTTACCCGATGGATTTATTTTTTTGGTAAGCGGATGCATTCCCCAATCATGTAAATGGTATTGATAATTTTTTAGAAAGAAAAAGAGAATAACCCGCAACAACGAAAACAAAAAAAAAAAAAAAAAAAAATGGGGTAAGATATAACTCAACAACAGAATGTTATCTTGTATGTGATTTAGGAAATTAGTATCAATTCAATGAGAAATTTATTTCTTATATTAATTATGCTGAAAAATATTAGATGAGATGCCGATAACATTGCTAAGTGCCGAGTATACCGAATAGCAGAAATAAAAATAAAATATTCATTATGACTTTTTTCACTTCCGATATTAAAATTTAAATAGGTTCTTTGTGGACATGCGTATATGCGTGACGATCCGAATTATACAGTATATCAAGTCACAAAGAAATCCGATATTTTCATGATTGATCTAAACCAAATGGCATAATATTTCCATGTTTTTTCAAGCAGCAATTTCTTTTTTGCCTTTGATGTTGCTGAATAAAACAATTTGTAATCAACTCACAGAAGTCATCTGGTTCATTCGAAAAAATCGAAAAATGATACGGATAAAGGTTGCGCAGTTCGGAAGGAATATTCTAGTAGCACACACACGTGCTTGATGAATAATGATTGGAATCAACTAGATTGGTGTGACGAAATCCTCGTGAGCTGGTTCACAATGATACGAGGGTAACCATTTCTTTTGTTGTAGGGTCAGTTACACGAAATACGAAAGGGGAAGCATAAGGAGAACTATCGATTGGGGGAAAACGTTGAATCGAATGTGACAACGTTAATTATTGTTGACGCCAAGAGGTAATCAAGGAGTCCCAGGAGCTCTCATTGACTGTGCGCCCGTGTGATGGGGGTGGTGGTGGTGGCATTCGATTGCGTTGTTGGTCATTGCAAACGAAGCACTAATTAAATTTCATACAAGTAATTGTAGCGAGTGCATGAGTTTTAATCGATTCCCGATAATATCACACATGACCAAATCCGAGAAATTAATTTGTGAAGGTAATATAAACAAAAAGCAAAAAAATCTCCTAGTCATGAAACCCGTTGATGTGTAAAACCCAAATCAAACGAATGGCACGGTTTGATGGTTTTGGGATGCATTAAGGTTTTGATAAACAAGGAATCCGATTTATTACACATACATGCTCGATACCTGATACCTGAATAGTTAGACCCTTCCCTGATAAACTGGATGAGTCATATTAGTATTTCATGGGGGGCGTGTTTTTCACGATTCCAATCAATAGTATAAACGAAAATTTCTAATATGAAATAGTTCTATTAAAAGAATCCTGTATTAAATTTATGAACGTAACATATGTGTGCGAGACAACACCTACGTGAAACGTGATGGCACCTTACCATAAATGCAACTCTTTCTTCGGCCCATGTGCAATCGGTTGTGTATAATTAGTTATTTAACGCATGTGCCAATTGGTCAGAGTGTATGCGTAATCGGGATTCGTGGTCATATGTTTTGGTCATATGATTTCATTGCTTCGTGATTTTCACACAACAGATTTGTAGGTGATAAAGTAACGAAGAATGAAATGCAATCAAGCAGATTAATAAAGCAATGTTTTTTCAAAGAATCGCATCCAACCAAAAATGAAAATTTATAGTGAATACTTTTTGTCTTTTAAATATGGAAAAAAAAAGACGTATGCAAGACGTTCGTTCGAATAATAAGTACGTACGTACGCACATACGTAACCCACTTTCCAAGGGCGATCCTAGATAAACACGGCACGGCTACGTCGACGGACAAATACGGAAGAAATATCACACACCGAGGCTGGAGACAACAACAATGATCGTTTTGTTCCTGTTTAACGTTAAATGGCTCTGGTAACGGATCTTCATTCAGTGCGCAAGAAACCTGTATCATCACACCGTCGGTAAACCGGTTGCGTATAACAAGATACATGGAAATTGGTTACATGTACCCAACCAAGTGCTGTTCACAATACGAATCAATTGTGTATCACGGATGCCTGTGGGGGGGGAAGGGGGTGAGCTGTTTATTGATGAAGTTCGCTTCGTTTTTTTTGATATCGTTCGACGAGCGAGTAACCTTTTACATGCTGTGTACGTAACCGTGCATGGAATTCTTCGATCGGGTAACTCGAAGCCCGTTAAACCCAACTGAGGTTTACTAGAGTCGTACATACACACAACCTTCCGAAAGACAAAAGTCGCTACGATCAGGCCATCGAATTATCGATTGTTTGGGAGCGCACCAGGTAAAACTACGTCTAAAGAGGGTGCTCTCATTCATCCACCATACACACACGAATCTACAATAGTTTATTAATGATTAGCGATGGGAGTTTTAAAAAATTAATTTTTTCTTGTTGACAATATTTACTTATTATATTGTTACTATAAACATTACATTATAATTACAATTGTAGGAATGGTAAAGATAATAAAATGTTGGGACCATTATCATAATCGGTAATAAGGCGATATCAAAAGATAGAGGTGCATGTGAGAATACGTTAGGTTGTCGGGACCGCGGAGGGGATCCTTCGGTTTGTTGTGTGTGTACTCCCGGAAAAAATCATTTCTTTTTTTTCCAACGGAGGAAGTAAATGACTTGAGATAATAATACACTGTATTGTGTATAACTCATACGCTGGGTTTTGTGATAATGTGAATAAAGGGACGGAAAGACCGTGGGCAGTGTTTCACGCTTTCCTATTGTTTGTTCTGTTTACGAGACCCCGGCACGTACTACGCTTCACGATTCCTGTCATTTTACTTTACTTTATCTTCTTGGTATTATCCATTACAAATTACAGTATGTTAAAACGCTCAATAGCTTTAGCCCGAATTACTGTATGTGATGGTTCCGTCTATCATGAGATATATTTGATTTTTGCACTGAAAGAGGTTTCAATGGCGTAACAGCTTAAAGGTCGAAAATTATAGCTCATTTTCGGTTAGCCTTTTTTTTCGTTTGGTCGATGGTGCAGTTGACGCAAGAACCAGCTTTTCTCTTGTGACACGGTAGAACCTCATTCAAGTCATGCACAATATAATGTTACGTATGATTGACTTGACTGAATGCAGTATCACAGAGGGACAAAAAAAGAATAGAATACTATACTGTATAATACGTATCCATAGAAAAAAAACCATTACTATTTTATGCTATTTTGGATTCTGCGTGCTTTACTTCCTGTCACGGAAGGGATCTTCCTTTTATACTCCATAAAC